CCATGCTTGCTATTCTCCGAGTAGAGCAGGTTTGCAATGTGGCAGAGAGACTCCTTATCCAGTCTTTCTTTGATATCATGCCACATGGAAATCAAGTTAGAACTTTTATCATCAAGCCTCAGAGTGCGTGTTCTTGGGCTTGCTAGGTCAGGCATCTCGTCATCTATGTCGATCCCCAGATGTTTACTCCTGTCATCCTGTATGTGTATTCCAAGGCAAGGGCTGTATATGTGGGTGTTTGGCTTTATAACATCATTGATTACACTGATGGAATGCTTTCTTATTTCATCTTTTTTTTTGCTCTGCAGTGCCTTGTATAGACCATGCATGGCATGTTTTCCATATGTATTGTATGCAAAGTATTCTTGCGCTCTACGCTTAAATATTTCCAAGATCTGTACTTCTTCTCCAGTATTGTTTGCACCGCTTACTATCTTGAAACTGTCTTTAAATATACGGTCTATCAGATCTGTGTAGTCTTTTGGAGTGTCGTGCTTCAGAAGATTATCAGTGGACTTGATGCCCTGGCATGCTGTGAATATTTTCTCTACGTTGATATTTATTTTAACTTCTTTCATGTTCATTGTAAAAGTTTTAATTGCAGAAAATGTTTTAATTTGTTGAGTTATTCATTCTACTGGTGCCATTATTATCAGATATTGGCTGAATATTCTCAGAGCAGCTGACTGGTCCACTAGGCACTAGCTGCTTCATTTGTTGTGTTTGCACGAGTTAATTACAGTGCTCTATTGGCCAGTGTATCTGTGCGGTGATTGATCAGTAGATATAGCTTGGGGATAGAGACAAGTTTAGCACCTCTCTGTCAGCACCAGCTATCTGTTGTGTCTCAGTCCTGTTCCTTTGCAGAATAAATGCGCCATAAACTCTATTTCTAATCTATCTTGTGTATGTGTCAGTAAAGGAAACAGGCAAAAGACAGATGTGTGGTGCCACTGCTGTGTATCTATCTGCTCTGCACTGGCCTTGTGGCAGCGGGCTGCAGCAGGAGCAGGCTCAGAGTGCAGTGTGCAAATAAATTAATTTAAATAATTGTATAGTGTACAGAAAACAAAATGAAAATAAAATAAAATAATAAAATAAAATAATAAATAGTACAGAGAGTGAAGAGGGCTAGTAGAGTTTTATTTCTTGTGTTTTATTTTGGAGAGTTTTATTTTATATTGTGCAGGAAAGGACTGGAAGAACAAAGAGAAGAAAGTAGAAGAGAGAGAGTAAGTGAAGGAGAAGAGAGAAGGGGTGCTGGTGGTATGAAGGGGAGAAGTGCTCATTGGCAGTGGAGAAAGAATGAAGAGTAAGAATAAGAATAAGTGCAGTTTATTCATAATGTTGACTGGATAGTCAGGTAGTTAGGATCAGATAGCTTAAGAGAGCACAGTTAGTAGTGCTTTGGAGAGTATTCACTGTGTAGTGTGATCGTTGTATGTCAGTGATCACTTATTTAGTTGTTGGTGCTTTTCATTCTGTTCTCTATTCTGTAGCCAAAGATCAGTGTTAATACTATAAAAAGAACAACTAAGAACACGGACACTACAATCTTTAGGGCTGAAATAAACTTGCTTTTTGTGGGTGCTGGATGCGGTGGTGCTTGTTCCTCGAATGGTGGCTGTTTGTCGAATGGTGACTGTTTGTCGAATGGTGACTGTGTCTGTTCTTCTAATATTTTGTTTCTACTAGGCTCTTCTTGGTCATTTGGTGCTACTTGTTGTGTAGAATCTTCTGTGCTCTGCATTTTGGGTGCTTTTTGTTTTTCTATCCCTTCTGCGGATGGTTCTGCTTCTTCTTGCGGCTCCTTTAATTTTGTTTCTAATTCTTGGTGCTCTTTAAGCGCATTGTTTGCCTCTGGTTGTTCAGATGTTTTTAGTCTGTTTAGCTCTGTTTCTACTCGATCTATGACCATTTTTACGCCATGTGCTTCTACCAGCTCTTTCATCTTTTCGATCAAGTATTTTTTCTGGTCTGAGCTTATTAGAAATAAGTATCTAAACCTATTTTGAACTTTGAAAATATCATCAAGCTTTCTTTTTTCTTTTCTTAATTTCCATAGTAAAACCATACGATCATTGTTCAAATGGTTAATCTCACATTTTAGGCTTTCTATCTCTTCTATCTTTTTGCTTTCTATTTGAGCATAGTCCTGCGAATCTGGTTTAGTTGTCCTCTTCCATTCTTCTAATGCTGCCTCTTTTTCCTTACATTCTTCCTTTTTTTGGGTGCAAGAACTAGAATTTTCTACTTTTTCTCTAATTAGTTCACCCATTGTATCTTTCACTGTTTGCTCCAAGCCTGTGCTAGTTATATGGTCCATATAGAAAGTGCTTAAGTCTGTGTTTAGCTTCAGTATCTTTTGTCCGTCCTTTTCTTCTAAGACTTTCTCGTTATTTACTATGTGCTCCAATGTTTTAATAAAGGAGCTATGGATTTTTTTCTCTCGCATAATATATCTGATATTGTTGTAAACAGAAACAGCTATTCTCAAGTCACCAGAGCTGAACAAAGCACTGATTTCCTTTTTAATTTCATTCAGAGCATTTTTGTCAGAGGCGGCTTCTGCTGCTTTGATTTCTTTAACTAAAGCTCTAATTTCATTAATTTTTTCGAAAATAAGACATAGCCCGTAGTCTGCTAAAGATACATTGGTTTTTTCATATTTGTTGTTGTACAGCTCCTTTAGAGTGTACTGTTTTTCCTCTGATGAGTATTTTGCTAAAATATTCATATCTGCTAAATTACGTAAATTTTCTAAATTGTTTGAAACAGAGAAAAACTCTCTGTTTAGACTTATAGAGGTGGACCAGTACAAGCTTTCTGGGTTCGTAAACTTTGTGTCATCAATCTTTAGCGTGTACTCTCGAGTGCCCAAGCTTGACTTCACATCATCTATCCCTAGGCTCTCTACTGCTTTGTTCATGTCATACTGCATATTTATCCCTTGTTCTGCGTTGTATATAAATATATTTGGTTCCATAAGATCATTAAGCAGGCGAGTAGGCTTATAGTCATATTGCGGATTATTTCTGCTATGACTTAAACTCTTTCCTAATTTAAACATAGTTCCATTTTCATTTGTCTCATCATTGTACATAAATTGTTCATACATACGATTCTTAATTGCATTTTCCAAGAATTTTTTCTCTTCATCGCTATACAGCTTGCTTTCTATTCTTATATTTTTATCAAGTACATGTCTTAGTATAGTGATATATAACATATCAGAATAGCATCCAAAAAGCTCTTCCATGTCATATTTGCTGCCAATCGTTTTATAGGCTTTTAATATTCCCTCTAGATCTATTACTAATTTGACTTCTCTCATATGTCCGTTATAAAAGTTTTAATTGCAAAAAATGTTTTAATTTGCTAAGTTATTCTATTGGTGCCTCTGTTGCAGACCATTGGCTGAGTATTTGAAGAGTGAATAATTGGCCTACTAGACACTTACTGCTCTCATTTGTTGTATGTGCTGTATGTGCACAGACTGATTGCAGTGCTCTATTAACCAGTGTATCTGAGCAGTGATTGATCAGTAGATATAGCTTGAAGATTGTTGGTTTTGCCTTGCTAAACCATAACCTTTTTGAGATATATTGCCACAGAGCCGGTACGAGGCAATATAGAAAGCCAATATAACCCGAGAATACTTTATTGTTTATTTGTATCCTTTGTGATCATCATGTAACCAATCAACAAGTAAATACTGATCTCGCCAGTTTTGCAAACTATTTAAAGAGTTTGCATTCAATGAACTATCTAGTATTCTTTAATGGTTTCGAGAAAAAACAGCTAAGAAAAATACTAACTGGCAGCGCGCTAGTTCTTGTTTTTCTTGTGGCAGCGTGCCAGGGAAGCGGAAGAGCTCCTAGAGGGAAGGAGCCTGATGCCATTAATCTATCTGCGGGAGAAAAAAGAAAGACAGCTGGAACAGGCAGTTCTGTGGATCCATCTTCCACTGGTCAATCTGCACCAGGCAGTAAAAAACAAAAAAAAGAGTGCAGTACATCACAAGAAGCATCCAATGCTTCTGATTCAGAGGAAGAGATTGACATTATGACAGTGGATGATGTGCAGCCAATGCAGGTCGGTCAGCAAG